ACGAAATAATACGTTCAGTTTGTTTGTAATTGACTAAACGTAAAATAAACGTTTGGAACCAAAATGTTCCAACAAATCTCTCCCGACTCCATCAGACGTGATTTAAATATTTAGCAAACACCTTCTTCTACTCATTCAATTGTTGTCGCCCCCATCCATCGTCCGTCCAATCTTTTAAGACACATTTCGAAACCTTCGTTTATTAACAGCGTTTCTCTTCTCCAAATGTTGAATGTATTTTATGGAGTACCTATACTTGTCCATCTACCCTCCCACCTGGTTTCTGAAAATACGCTGAGACTTTCCTGCACACCGTTTTTCGAACGCACCCTTCCTCGAACCTTAATGGAACTCCATTACTTTCCCCTCGGCAACCACCCCCTCAGTTGGAGTCACCACCCCTATAACTCTGTTGAAAGGTGGAAGGAGCAGAGCAAAAATTGCAAATTAAATAAATGGAGAGAAATGGAAAATGGTTGTATTTCACGGGAACATTTGGCAGATCAGAGTGATATTGATTGCTAATAATGTTTTTCTATTTTAATGTTTGATTCTTTTTTTTTATTAAATAATAAAATATATCAAACTATTTGAAAAACTGTATATGACAAAGCTTATTAATGGATGATTTTGACTCGGGATTTTTTGAATTTGTGATTCTTGGGGAAAAATTCTATTTTTTTTGTACTGAAAATTGAAATAAGCTATAAATTATAAATAAAATATAAATGAATATTCTTTTACAAATAATTTCCTATTACATATTAATATTGTTATTAATGTTGGTTTATATTAAAATAATAACAATTTTATAATTTGTATAAGATATTTAATTAAAAATATAGATACTGCCTGAATGTTAGAATATTCTTATGAACAACTGAGAATTTATAATAACACGTACAAAGGAAAGTTTGTAGAAGGAGGGAAGAATGACTTTCGGGTATTGTTCAGAGGGAAAGCAATCCAGAAAATTGAGCAGCGATGAATGTTTAATGACTGCCTCAATTGGGTTTTCGGCTTCGAACTGGGACTGGTGGGGCGAGAGGCGTTGGGCTTATTCGGCAAAACAATTGGCATATTTAAATAATTCACGGATTCCCGCATTTTGTTCCGCCAATGTATGCGTGTTTATGTGTGTGTATGTACACATACACACGCACAGCATAGTTGGGAAAGTTTCGGTGGAGCCGCGAATTAATTCCCATTCAAATGGGGACCGCAGAAATACGAGCGTTCGTGAATATCTCGACGAATCAATGCAGGAGGCCGTAGAAATCGGCTTTGTGTATAGTGATTTTGCAATTAACTTTTAGTGAGCAATGTTTAATGCTGTTTGGCCGCCGCGGAAAAAGTTTAATTTAATTTTATATTTATATTGCGAAACTCAAACAAAAGCCCCATTGTTAATTGATGCTAAAACTTTTTCAAAAAAAAAAGAGTACGTATCTGGTGCGGTGTACTTTAGGGCTCCGAATAATGTATATTTTAATCCCGAAAAAGGTGCACGATAATCCGGCGGATGCGCGAGGTCGCCATTATTGTCCGGCAGAATTAGTTTCCATTTAGCAAACCGCGTACTCCTTTGTGTTAGCCTTATTGAAAATTCGTTGAAAAACAAATTTCCAGAGCACTTCGAATATAATATTATTCAACGTCCACATCATGCGAGGCGCGAATTAATATTATAATTATAATTGGCTTTTACAGATGACATTTCCTCTCAGTTAAATGAAATTGGCCCAGTGTAACAATGATTATTGCCACTGCTAACGTTGCTGTGCTTTGAGAATTTCGCTCCTAATTAATTCCGCATGAAACGGAACGATCGTTGCTTTTTACGACTGCAACAATTTTATTAATATAGCCCCCCGCTTTAAACAGAATTTTCTGCAGATTCCGTGGAACGTAGAAGATTCTAATTATTCGTAAGCGAATTAAGAATGTTACCCCTTTTTTTTCACAGAGCACCAAGTGAATAAGGTTAGCTTAAATCCTCGCAAGAAAGGAGGAGATGTGAAGAAACACTGAACTAGCACACACACAAAATGTCGTGGGAGTATAATGGAACTGATGCATATTCATACACCGCTGGTTATTATACAACACATAAATAAATATAAGCCGGCCCGATTCTTTTCCTCCTTTATGGGCGATCTTTTGATGAGAAATAAATTGAGAAAAAGTGAAAGAAAAAATATTCGTTTTATGTGCATATTTGCATTTGAAAAACGCTACGCTGAATGCAGCTTTAATTAAATTGTAAAATATTCCTTTATTGAAGATACGAAATCAAACTTCACAAAGTACAGAATAATAATATAAAAGAGTAATATTAATAGGAAAATTATTATAATCAGAAAAATAAATATTATTGTAGGATTTAAGAATTTTTCTTGGAACCATTTTCATGGATTTAAAAACCAATTGAGGAACTAAATATTTACAAAAAATTAATCCGCAAAATCGCATAACAAGAGAGTATGAACAAAGAATTTTGCTTACTCATTTTTATTTCGCTTATAAAATTTAGTTTTTTTTTAATGTTCAAACTGGACTATACTGAATCCTAACTGATCGAAGCCGCACTCAGCTTAGTATTTATGTACATAGCAAGAAGAGATCTTATACTTAAAAACGTATTTAAAAATCATTAACTCATTTAATGTATATTATAAATTGATCTTTAATTACTTTTTTTGGAAATTTAAAGAACTTGAAGTATTTAAAAAATTATTGATATTTTTTTTATATAATCATAAAAATAAATATAAAACTTTACGTAAGATATATTAATTTTATATTTATAAATATACTTTTATGCGGTTAAGCGTTATGCGGTTTTTGAAGAGAAGGGGATTGGGTTAATAGAGTAAATGTGAAAGTTCCGTGCTCTTCCTCTTTCTGTCCGTGTCATATTGTGGGGGAGTTTCGAGATAATCTATTTCGGATTGACGTGTGTATAGACGTAGAAGCGGTATCACATGGCAAGTTAGTGGAAGTTTGTCCCGAATATCGTCCTAAATTATGCCGCAGCATCCACCAACTTATCCGGCAACCTTCTGTCGCGATTGTCGCGAGAAAGATTCCCTCTGACAATTTGAACACATCAGATGTTCCAATTAACAATAAGATGTGAGCAAATGTTATCCCTTTCCCCTACTTTACAGCGTCTTCTTCATGGTTTGCATTATTGAATGACAATCAATGAGCACCGAAGTGCAGATCAAGGATTCAGATTCGATTCGTGAAATGCGTGCATAATGGAGTATACATTCTCTGCCGAGGAGCTTAATTTAATTTTGTCGGAGATTTAACACACAAAGGGGTTGGCTTCCGGAATAATAATAGTGTCGACTCGTTTAGCTAAGATAACATGACGCGCATACACACATCGCCCGACTCATTTGGGGCTCAATGTCCCTGAAATGCATCGCGTTTCAATATAATTACGACCCTGTAAATAAATGTAACGTTTATTTTGGACTCAATTCTAATTATGTGCTTCTTATCTCTGCTTAGCACCACCGTATTCTAATCCAGGCAAACATGTTTTTGCTCATTATGCGCACCAAACGATTACAGTGAAATTTAACATCGCATTACAAACAGTAGTAATTATATATTTGCTAGGTAGTTTATGCTAGGTAGTATCAATAAAATGCAGTAGAACTTCGCTTAACGAGTTTAATCCGTTCCAAAATTTCTGAATTTTTTACTCGCATAGTGAAACATGTTCAAAAATACACATAATATGTGTATACCAGTTTTAAAAATGATGTAGCAGGCGCGCAATCCGGGACATTCTTATCATCGTCACTCGTTATGCGAAACGTCGCTCGTTAAGCCAGTCATTTTTCTTACAATTAATTTTGCTCGTTAAGCGAAATGTTCGTTATTCGAGGTGCTCGTTAAGGGAGGTTCCACTGTGTATTTTGTCAAAACTTCTTTTTGTACAAAAATAAAGAAATAATTTATAACCACGTCAGGAAATATAAATTTGTTAATAAATGGAATAAAAACACAAGTAATTATTAATAATTACCGGAAAATACCATTTTTTCAATTTATTTTTTACATTTACCGCAAGACGCGGATATTATTAATACAAATCGTATTTATTGTATTAATGCGGATCATATACACAATATAGTAAAATTATTTATTATTGATTTTCTTCTTAATTAATAGAATTAATATTTTTTACAAACAATTATGTAATTATCTATGTCATACGATAGAAATTTCTTGAATTAATTAATTCTGTTTAGAAGTGAGAACGTGTATAAATAAATAAATTTCTATACAATAAAAAGATTGTAAATTAAAACATTTAATTCAGTAACTTTTCATTTAATGAACAGGTTATGTATGTATTAGTTAATTGTGCATTAATTATTGCAACAGTTAATGCGTGTTTCAGTTCCGCGTTTCACGGAAATACAAATATTTTGATTAATTATGCAGTTTGTCAGTGTTTGCGAACGAAAATTGGATCGCTTGGAGGTATTATTTATATTTCTCCGCCGTCTGAACCATCGTAGAAGATGTAAAAACAGAAGTAAAGGCACGCAGCGGAAAACAAATTTTCCGGGAATAATTTAATTTATAATGAGAGCCTTTTCATTCCTTTGTACTAATTCCAATTTGCTTTTATACCATCTGCTCTTGTTTTTTTCTGTGTATTTCCATCTCTCCTACACCCTTGGTAGGAACGTATTACGATCTTTTTTTTTCTATTGATTGATTGTAAAACACCTTGCAGTTAATAATACAGGAGATAAAGAAAAAGGTGAATCAAGGCCCGTTCTTCATCTCCAAGTTAAATTGAATCTAAAACTTTCTAGTGGGAAGCTGGAGGTAGGTATGTAACATGACGGATTTCATAAAGAATTCCAACCGAAGATAAATGACTATCATTTACGTTCCCTCTTCCAAGTGCGTCTGGGGAGGACGGTGATATGAAGGTTCGATAAATTAGGATTGATGTAAGACGTGTGTAATCCTGGGAATAAAATTTATTTATTTTTTATAACAAACAATGTGATATTGTCATTGCGGGTCATACGTTCAGTACGGTTTCGATTGAGCCATTACGAACTTCTCTACTTCCTTGGATACGAACTCCATGTAATTCAAAGACCATCTGGTGGTTCGTAACATGCGTCGCATCAAGGACGCCATATTCTTGCCCTTCAGTTTATTCACCAGGTCCAATGGTAGAAAGCAAATGGGCGATAGGAAGAAACCCATCTTCTGCTTTGTCATATCATCTATTCCAGTTGGAGGATACTCTACCGCGTAGGGTACCTTATTAGCGTTGATAGTTATATTGGTATTGCCGATTCGGACGAGGATTCGCTTGAGCGAATGATCCTCGCCCGTTTCAGTATTGAACATAGTCGTGAGCATTTTCGTTTGCCTCTTGCTCTCCTCTATATCAAACTGCAAATCGAACACATTCTTGCACCAGGATTCATCACTGTCATCGTCGGTGATCTTAATGTGTCGTTCATTTGTGTCGATTGATGATAAGAGTCCCTGAGTAGCGGCACCAGCGAGAAACAGCCCCAACTGCTTGTCCAGTTCCTTGCAGTATTCATGATCGCTCATGTCCATCGTCGTCATTTTCTTCATAATAGCTGCCATCAGATTCCTGTCGACGCTTTTGAATTGCTTGAACCATTTCAGGACGTAGCTCTCATAATTTGGTATCTTGCCGAGGAAGTCCAATACTTCAAATTCGGTCAACCGATCCCCATCAGCAGACGGTTTCGTTGAGTTTAAATTGAACTTGTTTATCTTATTCACTGTGTCAAAAATGGAGATGTTCCGTCTAATCAACGGCGAAATCATCTTGGATTCCGGTATTTTGGCTCGTGATGTCCTCATGGGCGAGCACATCTTGTTAGCAAGCAACGATTTTAAGAACGCCTGCTCTTCGGAATTCATTCTCTTCTTTTTAATGAAGCCAAAACAAAGTATATAATGATCAATCAGTCGCAAGAATTAAATGAAAACACGTACCTTTTATAAGGGGTTTAAAATAGGGGCTAAATAAATACAAGGAACAAACAACACGTGCGCTTCTTAAATGAATATAAAATACTGCAGATTTTGCCGTCAAAAAAATAGCTGTAACGGCAAAAGAAAACCCATAAGATAAGACCGATTCGTGCGCTGCTTTGGTTGCATACAAATTGAATTTCGCAGCATGGAATAATAATAATTGCTACATACCGAGCTCCAATCCTATATGGCACGTCATCCCCGAGTACAATAATCTAGTAGTTTAATTAACAGTAGAAAATTTGTTAGGTGGTTTTATGTAGTTGACAGTTTTAATGGGGCCGGAATTTCTCGACGTCGACGTCGCGACGCACACTCTTTCTTTCTCTCATGCATTCACGAACCCACACAAACAACTCGACTGTACCATGCGCTTTTATTAAAATTTCGACTGCCAGACGTTAATTCAAATTAAAAATTTTAATTTCTTTTCGTAACCCCTCCACTGGTTCACCGAACAAAACGTAGAAACCCCGAGGAAAAAGTATTGGAAAATACAATTTATATAATTCCAATAAAAACAGTTCATTGGATTTAAGTAAAAATAGAGAAAAATTATAATGCAAACATTAATTATGTTAATTTATAAACAATTTTTATGGCTATAATAATACATTTGATCATTCTAATATATGTATAAAAACTAATTTTGTGTACTAATTTATTATATTTAATAAAGGTTACTATTTTTGTGTTTAAATTATACAAGATTTGTAGTTGTATAAAAGTAATATAACTATCAAAATATTTGTTATTTCGCATGACAAATTTCTCATGAAAATGATTATAAAATTTTCGTATTTGTTTCTCCATCAATTTCTTCTAAAAATCAATTATGATATTTATAATAAGCGTTTGAATATTTGTCTGATAGATTTTTTTGATATTGCTACTATTTCTCAGAAAACGTATTTTATATAGATGAAAGAATCTTCAATGAAGGTATACTAAGGCCTCTTCCTCGACGGCAAGGAAAATGTGTTTTATTATAGCGGGATAAAAGTTATGAGACATAAAACGAAGTTATTAAAGAAGCTTAAAAGCTTAGCTCTTGGATAAAAAAAAGGTTGCAAAGAGAAATCCATAAAATGTGAAAAGGTTTACGTTACATTCATCAATAATAATGGCAGAAAATTGGTAGAATCTCTTAAACCACATCGTCAAGCCCGTTGTTGAATTAAAACTTTTTATAGTATTAGTTACTATTGATAGATATATTATTATAAATAAGATACGCTATTTTTTAAATTGTAATGACAAACAACTGTTTCAAGAAAAGTCGTGCATTTTATATAAACTAAAAGAATTGTTAAAACAAGTTTATAAGAATATACAGAGAATAAGATTAAACATCTTTAAAATATGTTTAAAAACCTTTACTGACTTTGTAAGTATTAATACAAAAAACTGTTATTGTCGTTAAAATATCTAGTTCGAACTTAATTAATTTCTTATTCGTGTACTATGATAACTCTTAACCTGTCGCTACATACAAACTAAAATTAATAAACGAGTGATTGACTTGATTTGCAAATCTTCAATTAAATATGTTTTAGTACGTAAATTAATACCTTGATCAAATAAGTACGATACTTCGGGATAAAATTGGATCAGAATCATAATTCGGAATGTATTTAGATTAATTTTTATTCAACGTATTTTTTTTAACTTTAATTGAAAATATTTCATAAATAAATTATATAATTTGTTATTTATTTACGTAAGATCTCTTTAAAACGTAAAATAAAGCTGCTTTCAGTATGACACAATCTAGTGTATTGTTTTAGTAATTGTTTTATTGTATTGATTTAGTAATAATTATCTTTTACATTTAATATTTTTATGTATAAAGACCATATTTATTAAAAATTAATTGTTATGTTATATAAAACTCAATCATCGTATGCTAAGGGTAACTTGTATCCTTTTCCATGAAATTTGAATTATAGAGATGATTTACTTGATGATTTAATAAGTATTAATTTAGAAATGTAAACTTTTGACTATTACTGTTAAACAGTTATTCTTAAAAGCTTTAATAACATGACTTTAAACATATTTTATATATTCAATTTTGTGTTCTACTATACAGAATAGTTAAGTAGTAAACTTTGATTATGTTTGAAGAAATTTAATGAATACATTAAATTTATTTAGTATTGAAACAGAAAAGTGAAAAATTCCAATGCGAACAGTTCAGGATTGCATGAATAAACATTTACCTTCTTTCTGCGTTGAATCTTAGTAGATACAAGTCGTTCCACCTTGGAAAGCCGACGGGTCTCTAATTAAATCCGGGACGAGAGGGAGAACTGTAAGCAAAGTTAATTAAGGGACGATTAGTACAGAGAGATCACAAAAAAAAATGTTGAAGGGAGGACACGGAATATGCGGACAATAAAACAACGTCAAGAAAAAATGTTTCATTTTTCTGCTTCGCGCCACCTTGTAAAGTTATCAAAGTGAAAACGTAGAATTATAAAATGGAGGAGAATGGGGGGAGGGGAAAGCGAGAGAGACATTAAATATGAATAAAACAGGAGGCCTGGATGATGAGGATGTAGATGTGGACTACATGAAAGGTCTTCGCTTGCTCGCTCGCAACATCAGACACGTTTATGCAATTACAGATATTATATTTTCGTTTCGAAAATAAAATATGCAAACCCTCTTCGCTATTCCGCGTTTATTTTTTTTAAGTGCGTTCGTTCGCTTTGTTTTGTTTTTTTTTAAATATATATTAATAATAATAAAATGAATAAATATGCCGTTTAAACTGGCTTGCTTTCAATTAGCGAGTCGCGAAAGCGGAAACCGGCTTCTTGTTATTGTTATTTTCTCGATGGATAAATATGGTTGTTATGCATATCATAATGGTTGTGTTACGAGCTTGTTAGCTGTAATGTATGCACGGGTTGTTAAGGTGGAAAAATAACAAGATCTTTAATGATGCGGAGCACCAGAACCAACGATCATAGCGGGCGGCGTCTACTCTAGTGGAGGAACGACGCATTCGATCGCTTTTCATCATTCGTTTTTTTTTAATAAAGAGCAAAATGTGGATTTAATAAGAATTCGCTGCGCAAACCAGTGATCTTCAATATGTACTTGAAATCTTTACAAAAAATTATTATTTTTTAATAATAAATAAATAATCTTTTTGCAAGGCGGAATGAAGATAAACGGTAAATAGTCAATTGTAATAATACATGTTAATATTGAAATTTTGGACAGACAAGGCTTTTGGTCAAAATTAATATTTCAAATCTTATAATTTTGATTGTTGGAATAAATGTTCTTTCATTATGTTATGCATAGGAAATTACTTTCTAAAGCCGCTTTGGTTTTAATGATAATAAGTATATGTAACCTTATTATCATTAAAACCTATATATATTATCGTAATAAATTCAGTTACGTTTTATTTTTTAATGTTGGTTGCTCAATATTCCATCGAATAAATTATGTAGTGAGAATTATTTTGCTTTTATTATACACTAATTTTAAACTTTGATCATTTCCCTCTTTATACTCACATCAATTAATGTTATAAAACGTTATAACATGAAAACTTTACTAATATAAATTAAATACTACAAAATATTCAATATTGTAAAGTTGCATATTAAATGCAACTATTTAAAACGATTATTTTCTAATTTAGTTCGTAACTAGAGAATACCTTGCTTTACGGCGTAGATACGTTCCGGAAAAGTTGGTCGTAAATTGAAAAGACGTAACAAATCAATTATTTTGATACAAACATTTATTCTCTTTTATTTTGGCCGTTTAACGAAACGTTTTGGGCAGTAAATCGAAAATTAAAAGAGGTCGTTATAGCGAATTGCTGTATAAAGAGAGGCCCTAATTATTAATCATTTATATTGCGAAAAATAGTAACTTTACTTAATTTCTAATAAACTATTCATATACTTAAATTTGATGATCACTGGTTTAGAGAATCTTTGCATCGTACCTAAGTCGTCGTAGTCTAAGTTGTGAATGCACCACTGCTACCAGGAGGTTGGAGAAGGGTGCAAGTGGGGCTCATTTAAAAGTGACAGCCTCGGCGATTCTCAAGTGAGCGAGAAAAAGAGAGCACTGGATGAACGCTATCGGAATAGCAAATCATGTGCTGGAATGCTACTACTACTACCACAATTACAACCATAGCCATCGTCGTCGACTACTCAATACTGCCTTCCGTTGACGCCGTGACGTCATCAGTGGCGTCTCGACGCGTGGCGCAATCAATGCCAGCCAGCCAACGCGTCCTGCATCAGAATTAACCCTCTCCCCCACGTGCTGGACACGCCGCCAAACACTACACTTCTCATTTCCACCACAGAGACACGTCTTCCGTGTTCACGTCACCGTTTTACTTTTTTTTGTTACACGGATGGAACACGGATGAAACGGGGTTTAGGGCAAGGTCCCATTCCCGGCCGTCACGTACGGAATTTGCGATGTTTGCAAATAGCATGCAACACACCTCTGTCGTCGCTCCTCCAACAATTAAAAACGAGCTGGAAGACGAACGTGAAGTAATTACTGTCCCGAAATTTAATTGTCTGAGCTGTCATCAACAAATTTAATCCCATTCCTCGACGAAGATGAACCAAGTTGTAGCAGGAAACCGGCTATGTTCCAAAATAAATTAAATTAAAATTAGTGCCAAGTTATTTCGCTTTGTGTTCGGTATTATATTATTCACTTTATTTTAATGTTTCAAAGCGTATGAATATCTAAAACGATCTGATTTTCATACGAAACTGAAAACTATCGACGAACTTATCAATACTTATTTTTTGTTTAAATAAGATTTTATTTATGCTTATGAAAACAAAAAATAGTATTTTTAATAATTAAGATTTAATATTGAAATCTTACAATTTAATTTCCTGTTTTTTTAAAGAAATAAAAATGTTTATTATTTAAGAACATACATATGGATTTGCTTATGTAAAAACACATACAGTGGAACTTCGCATAACGAGTGACGAGGAGAAGAAAAGTCTCGGATTGTGATCCTGCTACATCATTTTTAAAACAAAATTAAATACCAATAAGCAAAGATGTAATTTTTATGAATAATTAATAAGTGGTATACATTGTATAATAGTGTCTACTTAAAATGTACTTATTTATACCAATAAAATCAATTTGTGTAATATTTACAACATATTACTTGCAGCTGTCTTGTATTGAATAGCAGCAGTCATCTGAATTTTCAAGACTCTAATCGGAAGTTATATGAAATTATTCGGAATATTTAACAAAGTTTATTACTGTTTATATTATTTATCTCATAAATGGAGATTTAAAAAATGTATTTTGTTACTAAATTGACTATAATTAAATAAATAAAATAGACTGTAAAGATGAAAATTGTATACTTTAAATTAAGGGTACTTGAAATCGTTTTTATTTCCAATAGAATGCACTATAAAGATGTTTTTACGTACAATGTTTACGCGTTTTGCACAACCTCACGTTCGAATACTCACGGAGCGAGCTCTACATTCTAAACTTGTGTGTCGCGATCGTTTGAAGAAGCTTTGGATGAGATAGAACGTGACCGTGCTTTTGTACGTTTCGTTTATGTTCCTTTGAACTCGAATAAATATCATGCTTTTATAATTTCGTATTTGTATTCTAATGAAATTTTGTAATATTGAGAAAATTCGAATTTATTATTTTAAATATAAATAATTAAAATATGAATTGACTTTAAAACAACATGCAATCATACGTTTTTTCAAAATTTACAATAACGAAATAATGTTCGATTCATGAGTTAAATTGAAATCAATTATTTATATAAATATAGAATTTAAATTTGAAAATTAAAAAATAAACTCATGGAATTGAAAATTAATTTTGCGAAAAATAATAATATGTATATATGAAAACATTTGCTAATTTACCATATTTGAATTTTATCCTTTGGTAAATTGTATTTTTTTTAAATTAATATAATGAGTTTTATTATAATTATACACATGTTTGTCCAATTTTAATTTTATTGAAAACCAACACAGTTTCATATAATTATATTTATTATTATATTTTTTTATGTCGTATAATTTTATTCACAATCTGTTAATTGTGTGAACATTGAGCGATTGAGATCGCGGTTGACATTAAATAGATAATCTTTCCCGGTGGATTTACCATTATGATTAACTTCAGGTTAACTTCAGTAGTATATTGATGATCTGCGATTCCACTATCTCTTTTCACTGTTATTCTGCTGCTATCCTTAACACTGTCATTGTCCATCGACCTGGATGAAGGTCCATATGCTGAACCTCATTCATTTCACTGTCTGTCTGTGATGAAATATGTCCCTATTACTACAAGCACCGACTGGGCTCACAAAGGGCCTGGCTTGACCATTCGGCTATTAATAGCCCCATTATTATAAATAAAGTTCATATAGTAAATAATCCATCATGAAATTCAATAAGATATATTTCTTTGAAACATTATAAAAAAAACTAATTGTTAAAAATTACATAACTTAATTATAAAGATCTTGTGTATAATATCTTAAATTTAATTCTTAAATTTCTTATAAAGCATTGGTTGTGAAATTAAAAACTGCGATAATAATAGCTGAAAATATGATTTAAGATTCCACTGCATAAACAAATCTATTATATTATAGAAGAGAAAATCGAGAAGATCGTTTTAATTTATTAAAGTTCCTTTTTTCCCAAACGGCAATATCAAGTAATCCTTCCGGGAATGTTCCAGATGAGAATTAATGTCGGATGGAAGGGGGACCGACCAGAATGTTTAACGGCGTTGCCATATTTTCCGCTTATAGCAGAAACGGGTCCATATCGCCGTCCATTAAATTGCCCATAACAATTCCATTAAACTTACCACGACGAGCGGTTTGGAAATATACATCAACAACAAAAAAAAATAAGTTTGAAAAAAGGGCTTGTTGTTCTTTTCTTTAACATTTTTGTTTTCGTTGGAAACAAGCAATTAATTATGATTACACTGCAGTCCGGTTTGCCATTAAAGTGAGTTTGCTGTTTTATTTTTTTCAATGTATTTTGAAAGTAAATCATTAAACGGAACGAGCATAATTTATTGGCGATAAATCCGGGCCTCGCAAAATGTAATTTCTCAAATAAATTACTTCAAAGTGTCGCGTCCCATAAATTACGCTGTTAAATTATGAATGAGGAGGAAGCGAAAAAAAAAGTATTAAGTGCTCAAAAATATAGTTTAAGGAAACATATAAGATGCGGTTGTTTGGATGTATTTAAGATTTTCTTTGGTTGAATTTGATTGT